TTATTAAATAAAATTTAAATAAGGATCCTTTTTTTTCTTTTTAGTTTACTTTAATTGTTTTATTTTTTAGATTTTTACAGACATAGACATAGACACGAACTGCACAACGGTTCACAAATCAACCGTTAGGAGTCATAGGATGGCGGCACTATGTAATAGCATGCTAACGGACAGGCGGCTCACCTGATAACTGATACCGCCGCCCATGGACACTCACATTGCCAGAAGGTACGCTCTTTTCTCGAAGGACCCTAAATCGCATTGCCTCGCGGGACTTAACTGGCGGGTAATTCCCCGCCTCCCTTATGAACTAAGAATTATATTTTATGAATAGGGGAATAATATTATAATGAAGGAAATAATCACAAGTCCGTTGAAGTACTTTCTTTCGACAGCCGACATTAGGCATTTCTAACGGGACTTTTCATCAAAGAGAACGAAAGCCTTTCCTTTAAATATTTAATTCCATTAATTCATCATTACAATTCTGCGACTGAAGCACTTTATAACAATAAATAACAGTGTGATCTGGTTTAAATTTAAACTGTCCTAAACATTTTTTTTAAAGCAACTAGTATAGTCATGCTAACTCTAGGTAATAAAGTTTTGTGTCAAATGGAAGTTTATCATATAAGTAAAATATAATAATATCTTATAATGTAAATTTTGAATAATTTACCTAAAAAACATGTTCGTAAAGACCTCACAAATTTTGGACCCATTGTGCGAACAAACTAATAGAGATAGTTTTTTCGTTGTTCAAAGTTAAACTGACATGGAAGCGGAAAAAGGTGAACTTTTAATTGATTTTGAACCTACGAATTGATAAGAATTACAAATAGATCAAAATTTGGACCAGTATAAAAAAAGTAAATAAAAGGGTGCGTGTACTTATGTACGCGCGTAAGAAGTTATACTTCTTTGGCATTATTAAAAATAGTTTTTGATTGCATGCAAATAATTAATTACAATTAAATAATCAAAGACTGGTAAAGGAGTAATTATAGTCAATAAAGTTCAGTTTACATTTGAAAAATTAAATAAATAAATATTTATTATTATTCTCTTACATTAAGGGTAACATAAATTCTATTATTATTCGAATGTTGTTTTTAAATTATGTCCAATGCCGTAGCATCTTCCGTGGGCAACTTCATTCTGTTAATTTTGTGTCACGGTGCGCGGGCATCGTAAAATTTCACTCATAAATTTTTCATAACGCGCCTAAAGAAGTATAACTTCAAAAGTGATGATTTGATTTTTCTAATAGACAAGTAACCTTCCGCGCTGTCGACTTTTTGGGTCAAAGGCAAGCTGATTTCTCAAGATGTCTTCTTTACCGTACTAGCAAGTGTTAAATGCGCATATGGATAGAGAGTCCTTTGGTGCACCAGCAAAACAGCGGATTAGGTATGAGATAGGCACTTAACAATGCTTTCTTTAAAATTGATCAGCCAACTATCGAATATATTCAGCTTCGGATAAGTACCTACTGTTTAATCCGTTATAATCGCGAAGAATTCGAAGGAGATATGTTTGCTGTATGAATAGAACCGCCACCATTCACAGGAACTAAGCAAAGCAAATACCCCATTGATACATACCCATTTGGACTATTGCAAGACAATATCTATATAAATAAAATGTGTGCGTGTACTAGGTGTACACACGTAAGAAGTGAAACTTCTTTATGACACAATTTTTCGAAAAATGATCTACTATATGCAACTTTACAGAAATTGGTTAAATAAAGTTAAATTACTTAAAGTTTAACAAAAGGCTTTTATTATCATAGACATGAATACAAATACAATTATTTCATTTTACCTTATTACTACTAAGATTATTACAGAATTTCATTATTGTAATATAATTATAACTATCATTGTTATCGTTATTATATATTTTTGTTATTAATGGCTTCGAATCTCTTAGGATCAACCGTGGTAGGGACAAGAAAAAGATGGCGCGTAACCGAAAAATGTGACGGTAAATTTTTTTCCAACGCCGATAATGAAGTTTGACTTCAAAAAGCAACATGGCGCGTAACCGAAAAACGTGACGATTTGCTACAAAATTTCTCCCATACGTCGATAAAGTAGTTTCACTTCAAAATACATCTATTTGTCCTTTATCCTAACTTCTTAATTACTAGTCTGGAACTCAGTCAAACTTTTAGGGAACATTTCGTTAGGAACGTGTTCTGTTTTTGTTTGTATAATTTGTTTGTTTTATCATTTTCCCACCTAATTAAATTCTTGCAACCATAAATACAATATTCAAGTTCTTGACACCACGGGCCTAGTGTGAATATTGAAAAAGACAAAACCATTTCAATTATTGTTAGTGCACACTTTATCGTTATAAGCAAATTAGGTTAGACTTAAATTACTTATTAGTCTTGAGATAGGCTAGATTGTAATGGTCCATGATGTCTCAGTAAAGATATAAAAAAGACGTATTAAATAAATAATATATAAAAGGATTTAATCTAGGCTTATAGTTTCCTATTGTAAGCAACACGTAACAGCCAGAAACTTTTAACTTGTGAAAAGATTAGATCTCACTTGCAATGTATTTACTTAACTGTTGTTATGTATTTAAACGTAAGATTCTTAATGTTGTGTGTTTATGGTTTTATACTGGTGGAATTTTCTTTTATGTGCAATTGTCACTTGTTTAAGCGGTAAGGGGTAAAATGCATTGTTTAATAATATATTTGGATGTGATTTTGATTTTCATCTCATTGCAAAAATGTGGTTTAAAGACAAAATGAAATTATATACAACATATTACAACGTTTCTTGAGCACTTAGTGATACAAATTACATTTCTGTAAATTGTATCACTACACGTTTATTACACGTTCCGTGGGTAGGGAAGGTGAACATATGCAAGGCGTAACACGTATCTACTCGTAGTTCAGAAAAGAATATTGAATACGTAACATTCACAGACACGACAGCCATTTAAATTTTATTTAAATAAAATAAGAAATAAAACAAAAAATATACTGCCTTAAATTATTAGAATTGTATCATATTAAATTATATTATTGACAAACAGCAATATAAAATAAATAAATCAGTGGCGCTACAACCTCTTTAGGTCTTGGCCTCAGATTCCTGAATCTGTTTCATGATTATTTTTAAATCTAATAGGCAAGTAGGTGATCAGCTTCCAGCGCCTGACACACGCCGACGACTTTTTGTGTCATTTGGACATGTCGGTTTCCTCACGATGTTTTCCTTCACCGTTCGAGCAAATGTTAAATGCGCACATTGCAAGAAAGTCCATTGGTGCACAGCCGGGGATCGAACCTACGACTTCAGGTATGAGAGTCGCACGCTGAAGCCACTAGGCCAAAACTGCTGAAACAGCAATATACAGAAATAAATTAAAAGATTTGTATTTTTGCCTGTTTGTAACGAATATACTAAAAAAAGCAAAAGAATTCAAAAACTCTTTCGCCATTAGAATACAACATTATCCCTGAGTAACAATTTTTTTTTTAATTATAAAAAAAAAATGTCCATCTATGTGTGCGACACATTGCTACTGGCACATAATGTGGCTGGCATAAAATATTTTAATATTGTTTCTGTGTTCAAAATATACCGTATTAACCAAAAGTATAATCCAGTTATGTAGAACAGTCCTAGAATTCAGCCTTAAAAGTTCACGTTGTTCCAAATTTACCGAATAAAGCTTCGAAGCCCATTTGAAAAGCTTGTTTGCCTTGTAACTGACCGAAATGTTTTGGGTCAGATGATTTGGCGAGTTTTGTGTTATATTTATTGTTAAAATATTATAATAACGTGATTTATTACCGCGTGACAGTTTTGCACGATATTCATTGATATAACCATTTAGAAATATAAACGGCAAATATCAACAGAAAAATATTCAACTTTACAATAGATAAAAATGTATAGGATATTGTATAATTAGTAGCTATTATGCGGTGTAATTCTTTTTCCATTTAAAATTGTATGTATAACTATCTGATATCAAAGAGGAGAGAAGGAAAAGAGACCGTCAAATAAAGAGAAACGAAGACGATCTCCCAGAAGGATGGAGAAGATCAGCTCATGAAAGAGACGAGTGGAAAACAAGGGGAGACCTATGTCGGAAGACAACCTGACCAACTGGCTGCTGATCACTAGTGTAAAAAAAATATATAGACATGTTAAAATGTATGTTATCGCTTAAGTTAAAATTACGTATTTGGTTAGTGAATAAAGCCTTTTATTATTATCTATATTTTCAAAAAGCCGTGGATTATTAAGAAATAGTTAAATAAATAAATTGTTTATTTTATATATACACCAGGTAATATAAAATTAATATCACCAATTAACAGTATGCCATTTTGCCTTGCCTTGTGAAATACAATATTCGATTAATAAGAAAATATTATATCGTAGCTAGCTACCGTGCTTCGGGCGGGCATGTAAAGCTTTCGGTACTTCTTTTTTTTTTTTTATAGAACGTAGGGCAATCGGGCAGGAGGCTCACCTGATGTTAAGTGATACCGTCGCCCATAGACACTCTCAATGCCAGAGGGCTCGCGAGTGCGTTGCCGGCCTTTTAATGCCGGGCGACTACGCCTAATTCATTATTGTACACAGTATTGTGCATATATAGCCCAGTCTAAATAGGAGTTAATCGTTGAATATATAATTTTCTACGTACGTCATGTTTGTAATGTTCAAATATTTGTTTGATTGCAAAAAATAGTTTATTTTCCCTTTTAGTTTTAAAGAGTCACTACCAGAAGTAACCTTTAGAAGGCTTACGTTAAAAAAAACATTTTAATGGTATATATACATTTAGTCTTGTTCAAATATTTAGTTTGGAGATGAAGAATGGTAAGTTTTCTTTCTATTTTAATTAAAAAATATATAATACCCCTTTGTTGAGTTAAAAAAGCTATAAAAAATATGTATTAAAACAACAGTCTACACAAAAGCTCTACTAACGTTATATAAGGTTTTTACCTTGCCGCAAGCCTTGCATTTTCCTTTTTCGGAGCGTCTGTGGACCCAGTGGTGATGCGTAATTGTCTGCTCCCTGTATTGTCGCACGCCCACATCTCTAAACGTCGGTTTGCAAGTAAATTGCACACGGTCTATTAGAATATCGATGCAGGCTGTGTGCGCCACAATCTTACACGCGGAACACTTCATGCGAGCTCCATGTTTCTGAGAAAGAAAAGTTAATTTTAGATTCAATACTTTCTATATACCTGAACCCTACAAGCGAATTTATAAGAATCATAGTAATGACTTCATCTGATGACACACTTGCTAATTCATTTACAGTTTATACCACAAATATTAGAAACTTCAGGTTTCTAATATCTGTGGTTACCCCACACCGTTTGAACTTTGAATGTATTTTTCTGTACACTAATAGATGTTTTCTTTAAATGTGCACAATATTCGTAAGATAAAAACAGTCTGGAGGAATTTTCCTTGTTAGACCCATAAATTATTCAGGTACATACGGTTGATCACAGAATTGATGCCTCATTCCCCGTCATAGAATAAATGTTTATTTGAGTGAAACAAACCATACTTAATAGTATCATAATATAAGTCAATGTAAATGTGGAAAAATGTTCCCTCTTTCGTCTCTGGAGTAAAGAAAACGCTATGATTAGAATTCATACATTTTTCCCTTCCTGCAACGCGAACTTTTCTTTATTCCACCTGACTGGTTTTATAAAGACTGCTACGAAGATATTGAGGGGAAATAAAACAACTTTTATAACCTTTCTGCTATAATTTAAATTACTAATAACTCGAAGTGGTTTTATATTCTAGACTCTTGTATATTAGCAAGAAGACCTCTTACAAACATAATAAATTACAACTAAACTTTAGTAATCACAATGTCTCTAGGTAAAAACTAGACAAATAATTTTCGTGTTTATAATCTAAAGGTGCGCTTACACGAGGGCAATAATTGCTCGGCGACACGAATTGACCGATCTGGAGCAATTAATGGAGCAATTTCAATAAATTCAATAAATTGCAATAAATTATTTCGGCGATATTGCTTCTAATTGCTCCAGATATTTCATATCGCTCAATGTCGCAGATACGAATTGACGAATATCCAATGGACTTGGAAATTCCTAGCAATTTTTGTATATTATGTCTCATTCGCACTTGTTTGTTTTTCGGCTTGCCGTCTTGCTTCCGCGAGGAGAGGTCTAAATAATAATAATTTCTAATTACTTTATTCAAAAGTAATTCAAAGTCTGTTCGTGACATTCTAGTAAAGTTTTTGAATAATATATCATCTTTACATAATGAAAATTTTGTCCTATTTGCCAAAAACGATCGCACCCAGATACGCCTATTCCTTTTCTTTCTTTTTTGTTTTTGATTAATGATAAAAAAAAGCGCTACAAACCGCCGCAGCAAGAACAATGTCGTCCATAGCGAGCGAAAACTGAAATGCTCGTGTATGACAGTATTGCCTAGTTGATGAAGTTGCGCCATATCGCTCAATATTGTATTGCGCAGTATTGATGCTTGTTGCCGTTGCCGTACATTGCTTGATGTAGTCGTGACGTCATAATTGACGAGTATTGACTGGAATTGAGCAATTTTAATTGCCCGTGTAAGCGCACCTTAAACAGCCAGAGAGAGGGATTTAATTCAAAATAAGTGAGAAGAATATAAAAATATAAGAGGAAACACCATTTAAACTTTATACTGAAAATTTATATTGTTCCGATTTTCTGAAGTAAATTTTAGTCATTTGTTAGACATGTATTTTGATGAGAGAAATCGAACTAGGATTGAAAATAATCTTCAATCCTAGTACGATTTCTCAGTTATAATTTGTAAATTTTAAAGAATTATGTTTATTAAAATAACCTTAACAGCTTCACATACGAGAACATTGTAATCAGGATGTTACTGTTACAGGTAGGTACAGCATCTGGGAACCATAAAGTCATCAATAGGACTAAACTACAATTTCACGGGTTTAAGAACACTGTTAATACACTTAACTTATATCATAAAAGAGGAAAATTTGCATATTTTTTGATAACGAATAAATTCACCATTAGATACACGACAAACATAGGCTATATTTATTATATACTAGATGACCCCGTGAACTTTGTTTCACCAACATATATTTGTGTCAATACTTTTAAAACAAACCAAAGAGATTGGACCTCATACAGCAGACTACATACTAACACATATTTCTGAAAGAATCTACAAATAAATGACAACCAAGTGACAACTTTTTATTTCTAAAAAGACTTCCCAATTTCCCAACTAAGAACAGTTTTTATTGGAAAATGCAGTTGTTGTTTTTAGTATTTTTCTTTAATTGTTATTTATGTTTCCCACCATTTAAACCTTCCCTGATCGTCCACAAATATTTCAAGATCATAATAAGCCAAATCGGTCCAGCCGTTCTCAAGTTTTAGCGAGACTAACGAACAGCAATTCATTTTTATATATTATTATATAGTTTTTTTTTAATATTCAATTTAAATCCCCTTTTACGAGAAAAGTTAAACGTGAATCATTTGTACAAAACGCGTTATATGCAGTCATACAAGCGCGTTATGCGAGAATGCTACAACAACGCGTTTCCTAAAATATATTAAGTTTTAATTCCGAAAAACAAGTCTCTATGGCATAGCAAAACGTTCCATATAAATATATACTAAAAAAAACGAAGTTTGCGGGGGCAGCTAGTATATAGTAAATATCCAATAAACTTAGTTCGAAGCTACCTCTAACTAAACTAATTTATCCAATTAATTTAGATACGCGAGATGTCTTAATAGGAGATCTATGCACCAAATCTTTGATGAGTTTGAGGTAACGAGGGTAGGTAATCGCAATCTACGTGTAGTATTTCCTGTCTTGAAATTTGAAACATCTTCTGCTCTTATAGTTGCTAGGCAGAATGCGTCATTAATAGAAGAGGAACGGGCGGTAACTTTTGAAAAATCAAATCAAAATTTATTTATTCATATTGGTAACACTTATGAACGTCAATATAATAAAGGAAGATCTAAATTATATTTTTTTTAGTTACAACCTTTTTTTGGTCTGTGCCTTAGATATCTATATATGTTTTATGATCATATTTAGTTAATTTAATAGGCAAGTAGGTGATCAGCCTCCTGTGCCCGACACACGCCGATTTTTGGGTTTGGGTTTGGAAAAAGGCAAACCGGTTTCCTCACGATGTTTTCCTTCACCGTTCACCGGATATCCTTTGTCTCTGCCTACTCATTCAGGAAAAAGGCCTAATGATATAACTAAAATATATAATACTTATGGTAAAAGATCGTTTAACTGTAGTTTCAATAAGGATTCCTAAATTTTTAATGGAACATCGATATAATTCTTCCAATGACAAGGTAATCAGACAGGTACTATTCAAGGTGATTCTATTCAAATGGTCCCTGTATTCAAAAATCACTAATCATACACATATTGACATTGAGACATCGCATGATACGGATATTCCTGCTTTACCGAAGGTAATATTGTGGTTCAAATTCAACAGTTGATATTCACGGTAATAGTCGGAATTTATGAGGGTTGCGGATTGATAGCATTCTATTAACAAAGTTTCGGGCTGTTCGAATGTAGATGGAACTAATTAAATCCGACCATCGTTTGTTTTAAGATTTTCACGTGAAAATTTAGTTTAGTAATTATTTACCTAATGTAATGGTAGTTTTTGAAATAAGCCATTTACAGACCATTGACAAATTAATAGTTTTTTAATGATGACTTTCGTCATTTGGTGTTCTGCTCTCTCTAGATATACAACATTGGACGAACTGGGGATTAGGAGACTTACCTACTTACTACTTACGATAAATATTGTCTATGCGCAAATAATTGTTGCTCATATGGTGGAGAAAAACGTCTAAGACCTAAACATTTACGATTTACATTAGAAAAAACAAATGATCACGAAAAATAAAAAAATTGAGGCTTAGACCTAAAAGACGTGCGACGTGTAGTGCCACTGTTATTTCAACATAAAAAAAAAAACAATTTTAAAATTAAAGTTATTCAAACCGTTTAAATGAATGAAGTATGCCAGTTTCCTCACCGTACAAGGGAGTGTTAAATGCACACATAAAAAATCTATTTTTGCACAGCCTTAGACCTGAGGGATGAGAGTCACATGCTGAAACTACTGAGAAAACACTGCTTCTGGCTATATTTTTCACATGTATTTTTTTTCATGCGCTTTTTTTTTTACATTGCCATCAAGTGTCGCGGCAGTATAAATTACGTTATACATCTTAAAGCAATTAGTAAATGGAAGGTGAAGGCTTTGTATCGACAGTGACAAGCCATTGCCGCTAATGCTGGGAAGGGTTCATTAATCTTACATTCAACTAACCGTTGGATACAATAGATACGAAAGTAATGGCTGTCGGGGAAATAATTCCTTGCCTTGTACAAAGTTGTGTTAACTCGGCATCGTTAAGAGGTATTGTAATGGCTTGAAATGAGCAGGATAAAGCTGGTAAAACTTTTCCATAAAGTTTTAATTTGTTGTAAGAAATTTTTTATGGAAACTTTGTACTGTAGAATAAACTTGGTACGCTTAAATCCATATTTATTAGGCCTAAATAGTTTTAAAAGTTTTGTCTGTTTTAGTACATACATACACATCTCCTCCACAATCCCACACACACATTGATAGAAAGAGACCTAAGTGTTAAGAGTATATTTAACGTGATTTATAAATAAAATAGTAAACTTATAAAAGTACTTACACGAATATAAGTTAGGGACTTTAAAAAAATCAGTAGCACTACAATTTTGAGGTCTGGGCCTCAGATTTCTGTATCTGTTTCATGATCATTCGTCAATCTAATAGGCACGTAGGTGATCAGCCTTCTGTGCCTGACACACGCCGTCGACTTTTTGTATCTAGGGCAAGCCGGTACCCTGACGATATTTTTCTTCACCGTTCGAGCAAATGTTAAATGCGCACATAGAAAGAAAGTTTATTGGTGCACAGACGAGGATCGAACCTACGACCTCTGGGATGAGAATCGCACGCTGAGGCCACTAAGGGACTTTAACTTATGCAAATAACCTGTTACTAAGCCTTTACAGAAATCAAACTTTATAATTATATAATTCTGCAATAATATTATCAAAAGAAAAAAATTGATTATTTTTATGTGCACAGGTCTTTAATTTACACAACAATAGTATTAAATCTATGCAATGGTTTAAAGTTTATATATATCCGTGATCACACCTAAGGTATCCGATTTAAAATCCTAGACTGTATACGATGGCTGGCCATGCGTCATACTCGTGAAGGGGTGCTACTTGTGGTGACTGGTCGTACTTGAATTCGTGTATGCGGTGATGTTAGTTATTTCGACTATGTGTTTGCGTGTTATTCCCACGAGCATGTAAGTGCGTGCTCCTATTTCACCATGCCTCCTGCCGATAGAGGACAAGTCTTTGTTTTTAATTTATGTTATTATTATTATTACTTAAGATGTCATGTGGAACATGGTGTAAAGGTTGCAGCTCCTTACAAACGTTGTGTTAAAAAAAATGGCGATTAAAAAGAGTGGCGGAGAGTTTTTTTGCCAGTTCTTCTCTTCGGTTCTACGCCCTGGATTTGAGAACTGGCACTTAATGTAAAGGTAGAAGCATTTTATATACATTTCTTATTTTGACGATCATAAGTGTACAATGTGTTACCTATTTGATTAAATGATTTTTGAATTTGAATTTAACAAGAAATGGAGTCCCAAGCTTCTCCCTCAAACAATAACCCTTGGTTATTATTATTTACAACTGTCCATAATACTTATAAATAGGTTTTTAATATTTTTAAGTAAGAATAATAATATAGAAAGAAAGAACATTTTTATTTGAGCATTAAAAGCATAGTGGTTTTCCACTCGACAAACGGAAATTCGATTTCAGCCATGAGTTTGATACAAACGGGGAATACCAAGAAATTAAAAAGCGATATAACGTATGAAAAATTCCAATCAAGTAATGGCGCTATATTAATAAAAATCAGGCGCCATTGATTCCTTAATGTATGAAGGATTACTTGAAGAAATTTGGTTTTGATAAAATATCAATACACTTGTATCAAATCGATTCAATCGAAACGAGAGAATTTCTGGTTGGAGTGCTTTAATAATTCTATTCTATTTAGCTTAGGATTGTTCGATTCCCAGATACGTTATTATTTATAGTATTGAAGCCTTACTGACAAAGGTAAAGTGAGACCCAGAAACTTTATCGCATTAAAAATAACCATGATCCTAGGAAATTTTTACAGGTTCGTTTCTGTTTTTTCCTTTTTTTTCGAAATTGATTGAATTGTTGCCGTCGCGTTTCGCTGGAATTTTCCTTAAAAGAATTTTGCTCAAGCGAAATATTAAACTTTACTTTTAATACGAAACTTACTTTACTTTATTTTACTTTAGTAGCTTAACGTAAATGTCACTTTTAACATTATATATATTTCCCTCCTTGGATTCTTTTGTTTGAAAATTCGTTTATGACTTCGTTTTACATATATACCAATGGCGCTACAACCTTTTAGGTCTGGGCCTCAGATTTTTGTATCTGTTTCGTGATCATTTCTAATAGGCAAGTCGGTAATCCACCTTATGTGCCCGGCACACACCGTGTACTTTTTGTGTTTAATGCATGCCGGTTTCCTCTCGATGTTGTCCTTCACTGTAAGAGCGAGTGTAAATGCTAACATAGAAAGTCCCTTGGTGCACAGCTGGGGATTGAACCTACGACCCCAGGGATGAGAGTCGCACACTGAAGCCACTAGGCCAACACTGCTCTTTATTTACTTTATTATACTTCGAATTACTTCGTATTATCGTACTTTCGTTTATTTAGGCGCGCTTGTATTGTCTTTTGCCTACTTTTTAATATTATCTGTTCAATTTTATTGTTCGTACAATGTTTATGTGTATGTACATACAATGTTTAATATTATGTACCCTAGCTGTCGTAATTACTCTCTAAAATATTAAAATATGCACCAGTACTAGGTAATTAGTACGTAGTCCAGTATATAGACAACTTTTCTTCGCATCGGACATCGGTAAGTTAATCCTTATTTATCTGTTAATTTTTCATTATTTAATTCAATTTAGCGTCTTTAACACTAATAAAACAGGGGACCATACCTAATATTGTGAATTCTAGATCTTTACTGTTATTTATACCTTTATAAGTAATAGTTTTACCACAATATTCCATTACAGAGGCTTTATGTAGAATATTATCAACTGTACAATGCCTAATTCATAAAAACCTTCTTCTTCTTTTAGTGCTATTTATTACTGAAGGTTGGACGTCAGTCTTTTGAAGCGTGTCTTGTTCTGTGCCAGATGCAGCAACTCTTCCGCAGTCGCAATTGCCGCCATAAAAACCACATCAATCTAATTGCACCGTTACAACTAAAGTTCTAATCTATTTTTTTCATCAATTTAACAGAAAGGTTATTGTGTTAAGGCTCAAATATTAATTTCGGAACGTTGTGAAATAAAACCGTGCGTAAGCTCGTTTATTAATAACTTGACGAATAAAATTTTTGTAATACAAAAGACGAAAGGGTTCTAAAAACAGCACAATTCAATAGAATAATTAAGCTTTTGTGAAGGGTAAATTGTGTTTATGTTTCAAGATCATTGCATACAGTGGAGGTTTTACACATTTTCAAGGTATAGGCTGTGAAGTTTTTGCCGCCCTTGACATGTCCTAATTTTTTTTACTTTTCGTTGAAATTGCACGTAACTGGTTATCCAGTTCGCAGCCTCCAACCAGTAGGGCTGACATGTATGGGTTGGTAGAGGGGGAAGAGAGAAATATTCTGCAATTTCGCTCTTTTCACTCATACAAAGTGTGAGCTGAAGGTGCAGAATTCTATTTCTGCATGGTGGGCAGTGAACTAGAATCTAGAATATGGAAGTTTGCTACACCAAATGTGCAATGACAAATGAGAGGGGAAAGTCATCGGCAAAATTTGTTGCAGACTTCTATCTGTAAAACAACAGAAAACCGCCGTGAAGAAATCTTTTTGATTTATCTAGGAGGTAACAAAAACAAAATAAAACTCGCTACCCAAATTTGCCGCCCTAGGCGTGGAGCTTACTCAGCCTGGTAAATCCGCCACTGATTGCATAAGCAATAACAATGTATATGATTAGGAGTAGACAGTAACAATCTTGCGGTTGGTCTGTTCAATCAAGAAAAGAGCGAATTCTTAAAAGGCCGGCAAAGCACTCGCGAGCATCGAATGTCCATCTAACATCTGTTATATATATAAAAAAGTGAGTTCTCAAACTTGGAAATACGTGGTACGAAAATTGGCTATATGAAGAAGAAAAGTAGAAAGAAGGCCCCTAAGGTTCTCTGCACTAAAGCTTAGGTTTCCTAGAAAAGCGGTGCCCTTTATCTAACGGACGAACTTATGTTTTTTGCATTATGTTAAAAAGTAAAGACGGCCGTTAGATGACGGCACCGCTTTCTAGGTAACCTAAGCTTTATAAAAGTATATATCGACGTAGGAAAGCACATTTGCTGTAAGTAGACATATTGCAATTGTTCACCAGAGCCAAAAAACTTTATTAATTTCGGAAAAAAATTAATAGTGTCTGACCTATCCATGATATTGCTACCATTTTTGAAACATATATTTATTTAACTGCCAGTCACCATTTGCAATGTAAACTTTTTATCCAAAGTTACTATAAGTACGTGTTTGGCTAGTTACAGCAAACAGTTTTTTAAATCACAAACCTTTAAAACGCTGTAACTAAGGAAGAAAAATGTACGCGCGGAAATATTATCAAATTACAGGCGGTAAATATGCTGTATGCAGTAAATTTATGTATTTGGGTACTTTCAATTGCAATTCAAGATGTAAGATTAGTTTATAATTATGATTAGATCTAGAAATGCAGTGGGTCATTTGGTAATGTAATGTTCGGTTGAAATAAAATGTCGTAAATGGTAAAAAACACTAAAACTGTAGGTTCCCTAAGCTTGCTGTAAGTAAATGAATGTAAAAATCACACGCCGCTGAAATGCTGTAAGTAGCGTTAAGTTTTTAAATGGGAAGAAGTAAGTATTTGTAAAGAAAAAAATGCAGATTTTCTTTTGCTGTAAGTGCAAAATGTCTGAAATGACTAGATTTTGGTCTACATACAGCATTTAATCTTGCTAAAAATAATATAAGTACGGGCGTTTTCAACGGCGTATGTAATTTTTTTTTCATCGTAGAGACACAGGACCCAGGTCATTCGATGCGGCTTTTTTTTCTGATTCTAATGGCAGGAAAAAGTCACTTTAGGTATTTTGTCTACTTACAGCAAATATGCTTTCCTACGTCGATATGTATATGTAGTACTCACCTGACACTCAGAATCGCCAACATAACAACAGTCCCCAGACACTGAGGTCGGTTGCCACAGGTGCTCACCACTAACAGCTGCCTCACTCCAATCTGGTGTTGAACGTAGAACCCTGGGCCCGGTAGCTGTGCCGTCACTAGTCCGCCTGTAAAAATCAAATTTATTATTAATATTTTCGCATTGCAAACCGCTTTATGAACTGCCCTGCGATTATGTAACTCGAAACCGCTAAACTGCGAAAACCGCTGTGTGAGTTCGAAATGTGAGTTACAGAATCGCAGGGCAGGTCTTCCCATCAGTTTAAATAAAAAGTATTTTTGTATTTTTAGTGGCGCTATAAGAAGAAGAGATAAGAGAGAAGACTGGCGAACTATTTATGACTACCGTATGACTATTACATATGTTAAAATATTGTCTATATCTATATATTAACATAAAGTAGTAAACATATAGTAATAATCTAATAACAATTTGCGGAATTTTAAATAACGATCTACAAATAACAATAAGTTAAATATTACCAAAATAATTGTCACAAGATATATTATTATTCTAGTTTTTGGCGCCATTAAGAGAGAATGATTTAGAGAATATTAGACAGTGACAATCGGTCATTTCTGTTATTGTCAATGTTAAGAAGGATGTCGAAAGAAATAGTCAATAGAGAAAAAACCATTAGAATCACAGATTACTTACATAAAGTATACCTAGTCTAAAAGTAATAAATGTACAAAAATGAGACAGCAATAAATTAATACAATAGAGCTAACAAGACGAAATGTGATTTCTTGAAACGCAAAGTATAGAGGCTTCAACCAATATGTCACTTAAAATTTTAAAACTTTATTATAAAGGTTTCATATTAAAAATATTGTTCACGTCATCCAATTTATAAATACTGGCCAAAATAAAAAAGAACGAAATAGAATTTTTAAAATAGACATTTCAAAATGGAATAACTGTAAAATCTCATTGTTCACATCATTCTTTGGCTTGTCTTTACACGAATCAGTTCTTCGCTTAAAATTAAAATTGTATAAAAATTGTAAAGTGATACAAAATTTCAATTCTCTTCTGCGCGAACGGTTAATTTGTTTGCTTGAAAAGCTTGATTTCTGATAACAATAATTGGAACTAGTTATATCCCAGTCGAAGAATTAAGATAAGATGGATTGTGCTCATTGCAAGCGTACTATTGAAGGCTGTGCCTCCATCAGATGCAGCCGTTGCGCATCCCAATTCCACCTGGAGTGTGTAAGCAGCGAGGAACTGGTCGCCAGCACAAACAGTTGGAGGTGTTACAACTGCGAGACATCCTCCAACGACGCTCTAGCACCCCGTATCACTAACACACCTGTTCGTGTATAATTTTAGGTAAATGTGAAAAAGCTTAATAAAATCGTTTTAAACGCTTAATTTTGGTCTTTATTTTAAATATTCTAAACAATCACATATATAAATCTGTAGTCAGGCTTGCAATATAAATTATAGGTGACGATGAAAGCTCTCGTTAACGTATAATCAATATAGATTTTTATAAATTTGAAGAATACTTAAATGGTCCTAATCCTTGATTAGTTCTAGTTCAAACAATTTGTATTAAAACTTAGCGATTAAAAAGAGTGGCGAAGAGTTTCTTTCCAGTTCTACCCGTCCTTGACTTGCGAACTGGGAATAAAGAATCAATTTAACATCTTTTCTATTGACGTTCATGTGTTCTTATTTAACTATACGACTAGTTATTTTGAGTTGTAAATTTTCAAAATGTCGCGAACCATAACGACTTGCTGGTAAAAAATTCGCTTATAAAAATTGTAAAAGTATTTTTTTAATTAGGGAGAAGTGTTATAAACCTACGGCAATTAAAGGATATTAATGTCAAATAAGAACATCTACGTCAGCTGTCTAAAGCCCTATGGTTCGGTTTAATGCATTTCAGTGATTTTTTAAATTAAAATGTGTAGAAACGGAGTGCGTACAAGCCCAAAGGTCTGTATTTTTACAGAATTATTTTAATACATTTTCTTCGTTCCGAAAGGTTAATTTAAATAATGCGGACTCAGGATAACATAAACCTGTTAAATGCAAAGTCACGACCATTTCACTTCAAGGCCGAAGTAGACTTGTGTTTTAATTTCTATAAGATGTATTTGTATATTGTTCTCCTATATTGGCCACGGCATACCTCTAGAGAATGGTCATTCATGCAAATAATATACAACCCCAGTCGAGACAAGGTATATGTTAGTCGAAGCTTGGGATCTTGCGTCGTAACAGCACTAGTGCGTAGACAGTGATCTTTTAGTCTTTTCTACTGTTCTCCGGAATTTTTACACGACAGCACGCAAAAGCAGGTTCAGGACTGGAGTTTCTTGGTGCATAGTAATTTCAGAATCTCTTTTCGTTTGGACTTGACAGGACAGGACTACTTACTAGAGCAATACATTAGGTAAACATATTTGTACTATAAAGTAGTAAATATACATATTCTAGCTGTCTTACTGTATATGATCAGTGTTGGCCTAGTGGTATCAACGTACAACTCTCAACCCTGGGGTCGAAGGTTCGATCCCCGGCTGTGCACCAATGGACTTTCTATGTGCGCATTTGACTCGCTCGTACGTTGAAGGAAAACCCGAGGAAACTAAGTTGACGGTGTAAGTTAGCCACAGAATCATCCCCTACGACTAGAAATTACTACGCAATAAATGGTGAGGCCCAGACTTCAAAGGTTGTATCGTCATATTGCGTGTTGTTCCCACGAGAATATAAGCGTGTGCTCCTATTTCACCAAGCCTCCTGCTGATAGAGGACAAATCTTTGTTTTTAATTTATTTTATTTTTATTTATTACTTAAGTTGTCATATGGAACATGGTGTAATGGTTGCAGCTCCTTACAAACGTTGTATTAGATAGGCAAAGGTTAGCAATATAGCTTAAGCTACGGTTTCCTAGAAAAGCGGTGCCGTTAACAACAGGCCGTAATGTAACGTTGGGTGACGTCACCCATACGTTGTCTATAAATAACATCGGAGTAGGTTTTCTAGAGAACGTTGAGTGTAACCGTAACGTCATATAGCGGTGCTGTCATTTGCATGACCGCCGTCATAGCGGTGATAAACAGTAGTTCACCGTTTTTCGCGTGTAGCGCAGCGCATATTTAATTAATACAATGACTTGGACGAGCGAAAATGATGAACAATTAATTGATTTGGTTAAAAATCATGAAGCTTTGTACAATATCAAATCCAAAGAGTACAGACAAGCTCAGATGAAGCAAAATTTCTGGAACGAAAATGGAATAACACTTCAAAAATACGGTCGCACTACTTTCTAGGAAACCACAGCTTGCACAGCGGGCCGTTAGTTAATGGCACCGCTTTTCTAGGAAACCGTAGCTTTAAGAGTATAACAGTTCGACTGTCAAAAGTAAAGTCGGTTCGTGTTACGTGTAATTGAACTAGATGACAGACCAATTACAACCAAACAGCTGACATAACCTACTTAACATATTCCCCCTGAATATTTCCATACTAGTGGTCACAGGTGACACCTGTCGCAATTCTTGTCCATACCCCTGAGTTGAGTTTCATTATTAAACAAAATTCAATCGAAAGAAAACTATACAAGGAATCTATTAAATATATTATATGTTATTGTAGATTATTAAATTCACACAAACATTTCGTGACCTACGTTCGTGATATTCATTTATGGGTTTTTAATTATGTTTGCTTCGTGACGATAGTCACTTGACAACCTTTTTATGACATACATAATAAAACACTATCAAATGCGTGTTATTTCTGACAGTTGGCAATAGTGTACTCGGGGGCTGCAGACAAAATCACTTTTGGAAAACCGTGACCCCTACAAGGAATTTGTATGACAATGGTCACGTGATAAAGCAGCTACTGTCATTTCTGTACAAAATCCCAAACGCGAATTGACAAATTATTAAACCAAAAGATTTAGGTAAGATTATAGGTAAGATAGCAAATATCGAATTGGGGCTTGGGGTTTACTTCTAAGCTGTCTATCTACTTTTCTAGTTAAAAAATAAACGAAAGAAGCCCAGTACAAGTGTGCATGTACAGATAGATACACCTCTAAATACATAGTTGAATTTTGGTAGAAGGAGATATCTGGCAACGGTGAAAGCATACTTTCTGGTGATTCTGATAATGATAAACTCGAATTCTGTAAGTAGGTTTAGATATGTATCGCCCCAATATTATATACCGAATCGAAATCAATAATATACATTTCATTATATAAAAAAGTAGACAAAATATTAGAACATTTCTTTTATGTAAACGTAAACAAATTAAAAACCCCGGAGAAAATGTAAATTGATATAAATTTGGTGGTGTCTGGCAACTGTGAAAGTTTCTGGTGATTCTGATAGTGATAAACCCGAATTCTGTGAGTAGGTTTAGAGATGTATCGCCCCAATATTATATACCGAATCGAAATCAATAATATACATTTTATTATATAAAAAAGCAGACAAAATATTAGAACATTTCTTTTATGTAAACGTAAACAAATTAAAAACCCCGGAGAAAATGTAAATTGATATAAATTTGGTGGCGTATGTCCCCTTCCTAATTAAGTCAATTTATAAAGCGAAATGACGTCGCATTGGCCTGAATTCTAAAAAACTTTTTGTTTTCAAAACGCAAACAAAAGCATTTTCAAATAGCGTGTATGTGAAATGTTTTGTTTCAGAATGCATGTAATGTAAAGCCATGGGTACACTGGGTAAATTTTGTCCACTACATGCCGCGCAACAACGTGACGCGGAACATGTGACCATGCTCTTTCTAGAGCGATATGAATGTGACGCCTGTGGTAATGCTGTTATGAGGGAATGTTGCGTACACCTGTAGTCGTGTACGCATTCCCACATAAACTGTTAAAGCTACGAATCTACGCAGTACTAACGCTAGAACCGTCTCGGGCGACACGTGGTGACGACTTGTGGCCTACAACTAGGGTCGTCCCGATTATGAAAGTGCACTAATGGATAAAATATTCTTTTTTTTACAAAGCTCCAAGAAAATCTTATCTCACTAGATAAGGTGCCGACAACCCAAAATCTCGCTAGGTCTGGCCGCGATAACGCCTCAGTGGTCATATCTTCTTTCGCGACATTTCTCTCTGGGACGGTCCTACCTATCTCGCATACTACTCAAACTCAAAGTCAAAATAACTTTATTCATATAGGTAAACAAGTACACTTATGAACGGCAGAAAAGAAGTTAAATTAATTGTACATTTACTACCAGGTCGCAAGTCAAGGGCGTAGAGCGGGCAAGTAGAACTGGCAAATTTGTTGTTTGAACTGGAGCAAATCAATCCCAAGGATTAGGATCATTTAAATATTCGTCGAATTCATAAAAAGCTTTATTTATTCATTTACTAACTTTATTACCTAGTGTATCCGTGGCTTAAGCCTCTTTATATTATGCCTGTATTAGCAGCCTCCACGGTCCACTTGACCTCATTAACGGCTAACAAATCATGGACGGTCTAATACTAGCGATACTTCTACAGATCTTCATTACAAACAGAAGGACGGACAAGTGTCTGCATAACGAGCAAAACGTACAAAAAAGTAGTTTAGATTAGTAACATTTCATTGATTTTTTTACAATACGAATATTATCAGACATACGGTTTACTATACGAATACTAGACAAAATCTCAATTTCCTATATCATAATTCATCTGCTATAATTCACTACACGAATCATCAATCAATGTTTTTTATACAAACTCAATTTAGTACGCTAACTATTCGAATCATCGTAAAGTTTGTACTACGTTAGACTGCGTTAGACGTTTGCAACAGCTATACCCTGTCAATATTGACTTTTCGTACCAAACGTTTTTTTGTACGGAGCGACATCAGCGCTACGGATAAACTACGAAACGTTCCGTCATTTCGACCAAGTTTCCTTATCATACAATGCCAATGCTAGACAATTATCAACTAATTATTGAAATTATTCACTAAATTGAGCCAATCTTTAAAATCGGTATGGGTTTTATACACAAGGCTGGTTCTAAACTGCAGAGTGCTGTTTATGCGAAATAAATATGCCTGGGTTGTGGTTTTGCTTAAGTGTTCAGCCAAGAATTTCAAATCGATTACCTGGCATTCTGGATGACACTAGAACAGCCGTTGACGTTATATGCTCTATATCTTGTCATGTTATTAGCGATCTAGTGACTTAAACATGTTGAAATTTAACATTATGTTTTAAAAAGATTTTGTGCGTTGAATTTAATATTGAACTCTGACAACGATCACAATTTTAAGAATTGCAATCGAAATATCTTTCTTTACACGCCAACTTATAGTTGGCTGTGCGGCAATGCCGGCCGCCGCAGTTTATTACAATGCCTATGTACTGTGTATAATAACAGTGCATTTGAACCCTACCTTGTCGATACAGTAATGATTATGGGGTAGACAATAGACATTAATCGTATGGTTATTCGACGTTAGAGCTCTGGGTTGTATTCATTTGTGATTTCAATGCATTTGACTGTCAAATAAAATGTACGTAGTTTAATAATATTTTCTAATGTAGGACTATTATATTGAATCAGACATTTTTTTAATTATTTTGTAAATGAACATATGTATTTGAACTTTTGAAATTGATGCAATTATTTTTGGGTTTATTCGTTACATGAAAAAATACAAATCTTATCTCTTTATTTTAGTAGAGATAAGCGAAGTAGTTGGTACAGCTACGCTTAAATAATGCGGGAAGCAAAGTTTCAATAGATTATGTAAAATAATAGGTAGTAAAAAATATATTTCTATAAATAGTATTTTTTGGAACTAACATTACACAGCACGTTGTATTATTAACGAACAGTTAAAATTATATGAAATACCATTTATATTGTTTTATTTTATATATAAACCAGATTTTTTTCGGATGGGGTACATACTTGTGGTACATACCATTACTTTTTTAAAGTGCGCAACACTTTCGTACATTGTAGGTATTCTAGTGAGGACACCGCCAGCCGAGGGAGGCACAGAAGACTATGGTATTCAATTAAAGAACCTGCTAGAACTTACAAGAAAATATAAAACGAAATGATAAGCAAAATCCAACATCGAATTAAAATTGAAACTCAAGGAATATTAAGTTTACTCGGAAACAGTAAGTCAAGGTTATTAACACTATTTGACTTCGCAGCTATTCTCTCGAATGACATTGAATTCAATTGGATTTAATTAATAGATAGAAAAAAGTTAATATATCAATAACACATTCAATTAAATTTTGATAATTATAATTGTTGATGCTTTTTTGGAGGAATTAATTGTTACCGTCAAAATAAAAAAAATGAAAATAATAGTGATAAAAACCGAATGGGCCTATCCAAAATTGTCTAAGTCACCGATTTTAAATTATAGGCACCTAACTTACACCCGTAACTCACCACTACTTTAAATTTTTATTCTTTAGATTTCTATTCAGACATTAAAACTTCTTTGATGAATATAAACAAGAAATTATTCCATTTAATTATTGTAGAAAATATCTATAATAGTATTAAGTCTTTAAACGTAATACTCAACCGGTCGGCCCCGTCAAGGTTAGGGTCCGGATTCCGGTTCGCTGCTCGCAGACCGAATGACATTACATTGACGTAAGGACTGTAATGTTGTTTTATTGAAACATTTTTGAATTAGTTCATAGTTTGATAAATGAAGCGCTATTTTTGCTTAAAATGTCACGCGAAAAATGTGGAAAAAGTGTCAATATGTGTTTCTCGGCTTTGTGGTTTGACCTTGAAGACACTCGTTGTTTTGCACTATACAAATATGGATTTATCCCGTAAGAAAATACTGTTAACATTATTTTAAAAAAGCGTCTAGATCCTTCTAATTCGATATGTTGTAATTAATTTCATAAATAACCGTTAATTCAAATGAACGATTGAGCTGTGATAGCACTTATTGACATTGAACTTTTTTCACTTTAGACACGGCTCTGCGTTTAATACGCCATTGTATTATTTTCTGGTCACGTAATTGTTTCTATATTAGCATATAATACTCCACTTAAATACTCATCAACTAGGAAATCATTAAATTTATAGCAATATCAACTATTATATAATATAACACAGTATTAGATGTTTAGATCTGAAACTACAAATAATTAAAAATTTTGGCAAGCAACATTGTTGAAGCGTAATTTTAAAAATGGTCTATTTTATCTTAATTAATCTATTTTCATACTATTCATTCAAATATATTTACAAATACATATATCTCTATCTTATCTTTTGTTATCTTTTACATAACTACAAAATATATTTAGACAAAATATAGTAAATTTTTATATTTGAAACTGTCGGTAAATACAAATCTTGCGAGAAAATATCACGATAACGGAACAATACGTTTTGAAATAGATAAAAGATATGATTTTATCAAAAGCCATGTACTAACCTTTTAGATTTCCTTTTAAATTTTAAATTCGGACACTTCTTAAACACTGAGAATGTTACATCCAATAACCCCATTATCACACAAATACGATTTAGGCAATTTACGCGTAGTGCGCGGCGCGCGCGCAGTGACTAAGCAAGCGTCATGCCGGTGAGGTCTGACAGCAATCTGTGGGCAGCAAGTACGCGTACTACGGTAAATGAAACCACTGAACTGCAACTAGATGCATGTAAAAACTATATAACATATAATTAGTATTTATATAGCTAAGTGTGAATAAAAATATGTTTAAGTTATCTATACTTAAAATTATAAATATGGAATTAGTTGATAAAAGAAGATTGTTGTGTTGAACAAGCTTGTATAAGGAACTAAATCGAGTTGATTGTATGAAGTTCTCAAGACATTGGCCACATACTGTTTCCATGTAGGTACTTGGTGTAAAATGAATTAAGGAAACGGACACAGAAATGTTCCATTGGACCTTTTAAGTTTGTTATCGAAATGCACGTTTATGTATGAAGTAGGTCTGTGTTTCAAGTGATAATACAAAAAGTAAAGATTAAGTATCGGTTACCGTTGAAACATAAATAATTGTTTCGGATTAGAGTAAAGAAACCATCAACCAAATAGAAATAGCCTAAAAATGTTTGGCGTGTGTCAATAATGTGTATTAGTAAATAACATTCTTTAATGTGGGATTCGACGACGCATATTATTATTACTTATTTCTTAAAACAGTTCTTGTTTTATTAATGAGTTAACCACAAATCACCTGACTTAATGACGTCAGATAAACATGCAAAACACTTTTATTTCACTACAAATAAATCATAATTTACTCTTGACAAAATTGAATTGTTGTTTCAATCTTATAAGCTGATTGTGTATTTTTATTATGTGTGTAGTCCTGGGTTTGTATGTGTGGAACCCTTTGGTTATAGGCTATAAAGTCACTACTATGAATGTTTTCAAAATCTATTTTTTTGCCACATTGTATTTGCAGTGTGATGAAAAGAGGTATGTTAAAAGGCTAAGTAGGATCTTAGTAAGCATATTTCATAAAAGGGCGTGAACACACACGCCTTCGGCTACAATCACTACGATGTCGTCACCATTCGACCCACCGCGCTAACAAACTTATTCCGACGGCTAAGCTTTTACACTACTTCCCGACCTGAGCTACTGGGCTTCAGGTCAGTGATTAGATTTGTACTCCTGAGACTTTAGTAAGCGCACATCCTTCCTTTACAGGCGATTCATGAATGAATTACTTTGTTGGCATGAACCATTTAAATTGTACTTTGAAAGGCTTCCTTGGGCCGCTCAATTTGACCGAGCTTCGTACCAACCAGTGTCACTATACATATATTATATACAGATTTTTGACGGTTTCCTAAGTACTAGCCAAGGCTGCTTTTACTCACGCAGCAATACTCGTAGATACGATATTATTCTGTAAGTAACTACGTTCTACAGAATACAGTTTATTAAATTTAAAACAAGACAATGAAATCGATATATTTAATATTCGTCTTATTAAAAACGCCTCTGTGTCTTCAGACGGAATATAATTAAAGGTAGCCCTGGGGAAGGTATTGTAATCAAACAAAATTTACATAAAATCATTATTGTGAGATTAATATATATTTTGTGAACTTAAATTCAACATTTTAATATTGATATTAAAAAATAATGTTTTGATTAAATTGCTACTTTAGTAGATTGTAACGAGTAAAATGAGCCCGTATTTTATTTAAGTTAGTTAAATTTAGATGAAGATTATTAAATCTCTCCAGATAATTAAATATAATCCAAATTTATAATAATAGAAGTATGTAGGAGGTTAGTCAAAACAAGCGTTGTTCAAGTTTGTTGCACTAGGAGTGGGTGACGGTGGGTGATGATGGGCGACAGCCCACGTCATGTCTATTTCTTTATACAGGATAGGGTGAAATACGAGTCAGTACTAAAAGGCAGCTACTGAAGCCCTTGGACATTAATTTAGTTAGTGGGTTGCGGCCGTCTTTCGTCGTCGTTCTATAAGGAGATACGACATCTCTTTGGAAAGATCTCTCATAGGGGCTTATTCCACAGCTAACTCAAACTCAAAATCAAAGTATCTTTATTCATATAGGTAAACAAAGACACGTATGAATCGTCAAAAATAAGTTAAATTAATTGTAAATTTACATTTACTACCAGTTCGCAAGTCAAGGGCGTAGAGCGGGTGAGAAGAACTGTCAAGAAACTTTCCGCCACTCTTTTTAATCGCTAAGTATTGTCATACAAATCGTTTAAACTGTTGCTCCAGTTCAATCAATACTTAAATGATCAATCCCAAAGATTAGGATCATTTAAGTATTCGTCAAATTTATAAAAAGCCTTATTGATTAATTTACGTTTAACGAGGGCTATGAATTTATTTAGCGATAATTCTCTAATTTCGCTGGGGAGTTTGTTGTAGAAACGAATACAATTTCCATATATGGAAATAGTTTATCTTTTGAAGCCTGGTTGATCGTACACTCAAATTGCTATATTTGCTAATTGCTAACTAGTTCTTAAAGAAATGCATAGTGAAGCAGTTTCAAATTGAATTCCCTTTGCTTCGATTTGAACCTAAAAACTAAGTACAATTTTAATTTATGATCGAAAGTGTTCTTAATCATTACAATTACTTTAGTTTAGTTTTCTAGTAAACGAAACATTTTTACAGTAATTAAAT